AGGTACCTAAAGACGTTAGGAGCCTCAGCCACAGCAACTTCCAGGGCCTGGTGCCGGGAAACACATAGCACGGGCCACGCGAGTCTCAGGGGTACTAAGGGATGGTAACAGTGTGAATTCATATATGGAGATGCTTTATAGACACAAAGGAGGGCAACTTCCCAGATATAATGTGGTAGCTGGTCATATGTGTGTTATGACTATGTGCAGTTACATAGAGACTGTTGGGTAACAATCTCTCCAAAAGACATGTAGTCCTACAGTACCAGACAGAGCCAGAACTATAATTAAAGAAATAAAATTAAATCCATAACAGAAATGAAATTGCACCTAAATAATCAAAGACCTCTACAAAGATGAAGGAGAAATTTAATACACTTGTAAATGACCTAAGCAGTTGCTATTATTGAGGGTACAATGAAAAGTCGAGAAGATCTTAGAGAGGTTAAAACATGAAGGAAAATCAACACAATGAAATTTATAAAGATAAACATAAAATTCTGCATTTAGATTCCAGATGTCAGATGACAAAATACAGGTGAAGAAATGTGAGAATATGAGAAAAGTCAAGAGAAATTACGTTATAACTAATGTGGTTTATAATATAGCATATGCTAACTTATACTGTATTAGGAAAGGTGCAATGTCCAGATGAAAGACGGAAATGTTTCCCCAGCATGGTGCTTGAGTTCTCTCAGCATGTGTTCATCTACCTTGTGCAAGTTCCTCTGCCAAATACGGCATTTAGAAGGGGAATAGTGAAAAAGTGGGATGTCTGCAAAGCACAACCATCGTTAAATTGAGGGACCTGGAAGATGAAATGTAAATGAAATTATTGAAGGAACAAGACGTATTTAGTCTAAGAAGGGGTGACTTTATGAAGAAATTAATGAGAATAGTTTTCAAATGTTTGAAATGCTGTTCTTGGGAAGAATGAATAAACTTAGTTTATGAGAGGCTAGACAATAAACCCAAGGTCTTTTGCAGAGTGTGTAGAAAAAATAAAATTGGTCCTTTCACAAAGTAATGGGATTACATTCCTGGAGTTTGTAACAGAGATAAGCAGGGTATGTGGTAAAGAAATGCCAATATTTGGCGCTGTCTCTATCTCCCTTTCTCTCACTCTCTCTCTCTTCCCTCTCTCTTTCTCTCCCTTCTTCCTGTGTCTCAGCCCTTTTTTTTTCTGTGAAGAAATCTGATAATTTACTATTTCTCCAGTATAATACACTTCATAGAAGGAATTATTTTTAACATCCAGAGGAGCATATACAGGAAGCAAACTATGGGAAATTTCCTACCATTTCCAAGACAGCCTAACTTGCTCACATGTTTTTTTGCATATAGCCTTTAGAGAATTGAACTCAGGAAAACTCGAGGTAACATTTGAGAGTATGTGCGCTTTAGCTTACCCTTTCTTGTGCATATCTATATTGTGTGTATGTGGATGAGTAGGCTGATAAAGAGAGAGAGTGAGAGAGAGAGAAAAGGAACAAGAAAATGAAGGAAAGAAAGAGGAACAGGGGAGAGAGAGAGAGAGAGAGAGAGAGAGAGAGAGAGAGAGAGAGAGAGAAAGAGAGAGAAACATATGTAGACAAAAAAGCAAGAACCTCCATTTAAATCTGCACCTAACTTGAGTTCTTCTCTCCTAGGAGAATAGGATACAGTTTCTCCCTCTAGGATACTGCAGGTTTACATAAACACCTTCCTAAATATGAAAGCGAAGCAAAGTCCGTCAACCAAGTAAATTAAACACAGCTGAATTATTCAGCAAAATAAGTGGGAAATTTAAGTATCAAGGGCAGGAGCACACTGAATTAAATGACATTATACTTGAGATTTCCTTTATGATACTCTGGGACTCTGAGGAAAAATAGGGAACAAATGGGAACTAATTACAGAATGCTGCTCATTAATTAAGTTGCATAATTGATACCTGGAGGTACAATGGAATTATTCTCTTGATATTTGGGTAAAGTTGGAATTTTCTATAAAAGAATTTTTAAGAATAAAAAATAAATATCCATTTAGATGATAACTTTTCTCCTCTAGTTTATTGATAACTACAAATAGATTAAAAGCACATTTTAGTAAATGTTTAAAAATATCTCTTTCTAGCATTCAACATTTTACACCACTCCTCCACTCCCATTCTTCAGGATAGGATGTTTTGTGGAGAAGTTCTTTGTAGCTTTAATATCTATTTCAGAGAAAAAATACTTTGAATCACAGAGGGCAATTTTCTTAATATCTATACAAGACCACTCCAGAAATCTCCTTCAATCGCCACTGATCCCAGAAATCAAAAATGAGGAGAGTGCCTTATCTGGCGTATAGCAGGAATAATATATGATTATTTTTACGATACCAAAGTATGAGAACAGAAAACAGTGGTGGCTCTCCTTTACTTCAGAGAAGGGTAAACCTTCCCAGGCCAAGCCTCCTTTCTCACTGTAACACTTGGGTTTCCTCCACTACATCTTGCCTCTGTCTTATTCAAAATCCTATTATCTCCTGATAAGCTTTAAATACATTATAGGACAAAGCTTACATGGTATTATAAACTTCACTCAGAGGCTGGAGACACTCAACATAGTGGCTTCATTCATGGGCTTTTATGATAAAGTAACAAATTATCCTCAATCACAACTCTCAGATAGATACACAGAATTATTTAGAAAAGTTTGTTTAAAGTAGATTTCTTCACAGTGTCCTCTTAAAATTGTAATTTTTAGATATGAACTAGGGTCTCATACTGTGATTTGGCATTCTTTTGTTTAACTTTCTAGGGGAGCTGGCCTATAGCTCAGCGTGGTGATCATTCATTTAGAGCATTCACCAAAACTATGAGAAGATTTCTGAGGGCCCAGGCTCTCCAAAGGTCATGGAGCCCCAAGTTTCTTTTGGAATTTCTCTTCAAAACTAAACAAAAGTAAGATATTGTATATATAGTCTAGAGGGAAAATCAAGGTGAAATATTTTGAGACAAAATATATATCCTGACTGACATAGCTGCCTCCTCACTTTCCTAATATGGTGATAAAATGAGCAGCAGTCTCTTCTAATTCTAGTAAAGGGACTAATCTCACAAAGGACGCTCCACCCATATGATCTCATTTAGCCCTAATTACCTCCTAAATGTCCAGTCTCCAAATATAACTAGATACATTGGGAGTTAGAGACCGCACACATGAATTAGGGCGATGTACCAATATTTAGCCAATACATAACACATATATTCACTTAAACTTATATATAAAATATATGTATATGAATTTTTTATCAAAAATAAGAGTATGCTATGTGCATACTTCTAAAACAAAAAGTTTTTTAACATAAAATGTAGACTATGGACATCTTTCATGCCGGTTATTGGAGACTTACCTTACTTTTTCAAAGAGCGATGTGGTATTCCATAGTACAGCACCTCCAAAATTTATTTAATCATTTACCTATTGATTGACATTTAGGTTGCTTTCAATGTTTCACTTTTATAAATAATCTTACAATTGACATTCTCTTGGTTACTTTTCTCTTGTTTCTGAGACAAAATAACTGACGCCCAATATTAAGGAAGGAAAGGTTCATTTAGCTCATAGTTTGTGGAGGTTTCAGTCCATACTTGGTTGGCTCCAAAGCAGAGTCGCACATGGAACAAGGCAACTGTTCATGGCAGCAGGAAGCAGCAAAAGCAACAAGAGCAAAAAACAGGAGGAGTAGCCTCTGGAAGAGCAAGGCTCTTTCCCTCCCTTACATTGTATGCAAGCTACTTGCCCCAGAGCAAATGGAGCACTCACACCCATAATCCCAGCATTGGACCATGGATCAATCATAAACTCCAGAAGCCTGGCCCATGACTGCATGAGGCTTTGCAGCAACATCCAGACCAAAACATAACACATGTGTAGCCTATGTGCATGTGGTACTATTTCTATAGGGTAGAATAGAGTCTTAGAGGATGAACGAGGAATAGATGAGAACTCTCTGGACACAAGCATTTAACATGCTGAAGGACATTGCCAAATGGTCCTTCAAAGGGATGTACCACTTTTAATGTCACTCAGAAGCCCAGCTATACATTCTTGTATTGAGCATCTTTTACATTTAAAGTGTTTGTTCCATTTCACTACATATTATCAATGCTTAGTAAATAGTATCTTATGATGAAAACTTGATAAAAAAAAGATTATAATGAATCTTTCTAGTCAATAGTTTGATTTATAACTAACCATAATGGCCCTGTGTTAATGACTTTTATAAGTTCTTATTAGGACATTATGTAACACAACACTAGCTATTCAGCATGTGCAAGAAACTCTTGAAAGTCCCAGAATATTAGGTAGAATAAGAAAGACCAAGAGAGACAGAGATTACCATTTAGGCCATTTCACTTCTCAGCATGCAGCAGAGCAGGTAAGAATTCAAGTCTTTTCTCATGCTCCTCACATTTCACTGAACCAGGAGGAAAATTAACTCTCAAGGTGAAAAATGCAGGTCACCTTCTTAGTAAAATGAGAAAGAATATACTAGCATGATGTAACATATGCTCCCATTATAGTAAAATACTGGCACATAGACCATCTCAAAGAGGTTTAATATTGAAAACAACGAAAGTAACTTGTAGAAGGAAGCACTGAGTAACTGCTTCTGTGTACCTGTGCCCTCCTTAGCTGTTTGTTAGAAGTCCTTAGCTCAGACTTCTAAATAACTGGAATTGCTTACAGAAATTGCCAAAATAACCTCTGAGAAACAGATGGTTACAAAGGCTTCTGTCCAGATGCCAGAAACCCATATGCTTGCCAATCTGTGATTCCAGCATGCCCCATTATACTTAAAATTATATTTTTCCTTTTGTTGCCATGTTCACTCTACCATAATTAACAAGGTTCTAATACTTTTCCAGAAAACAAGAAACATCACAGTCTCTTTGCCTTTCTTTAATAGAAAGAAAGGGGAAAAGCAGGTGAGACACCTTCAAACCCTCAACCTAAGCTGCAACTCACCAATTGTATGTCCATGTAAGCTATGCTCAGGAAGCCTTTTGCAGCTTTTTATTTCAGCTGTATCATTTTCTCCTCTGGATATCTAGGCACCTCAGTACTGGGAGGACCGCTCCTTCACTTATTTTCCAGTCTATAAACAAGCAAAATACAATTGTTTGGGGAAAGAACAAGTCACATATATTTCTTTTTCCAGAGTCAAAGATAGAATGGGAAAGAAGCAGATCCTCCACCTGAGAAGAATAGTTAGATTTCTTGATCCAACAATGCCAACTATTACACCAGACACACCACGACAGCAAAACCCCTGGCACCATCCCAAAGGTTGTGCTTCCAGATATGAATAATATAAATAGTTTGAGTATTCAACACACCTAAGGTTGCATGTCACTAGGTGGACAGAAGTATGTGCCAAACCCAACGTGACCCTTTTTGGGAGATCAGAAATTTCATTGTTCAGAGATCAGTCTTTTTAATGGTCACTTTTTCTATTGACTTGTTTTCTTGCTTTTGGCCTAGACACTCACCTCCTCTGGGGCCTCGGAATGTTGTATGTGAAAAATGTCCAAATTTTCACAACTATTATATCCATGGGGAGTCAGTTTGGCATATTTAAATGATGTTCCAATGTAAGACTCTGAAGCTACCAATCACTGTAAAGAACATTCTACCACACTCCTTGTCTTACATGTTCAAGAATTTAAAAACCATATGCATGCATGATATCAGAAAGAATACATCCTTAACCACTCAACTCTTCAACAAAGAAGAAACTTAAGTTACTCTCAATAAATATTTTGAAACTGAAGAATGGTTTGTGAACCCAAAACAATGTTACTGGTTTTTCTGTTTAGTGTAGAGAAGCATAATATTTAGAAAAACTTAGACTATGTTAAGGTATGTGAATTTCAATCAGAAATTTAAAAGAGATCATTTTGACATTTTAATTACATTTTGATGGTTAAACCTTGGAAATAATGCTGATTTAAATTTTTAAGTAAAGCAACTTTTGATGGCTTTTTTCTTGCCTGTAGCTATCCAGACACCTGACGGGACAGGAGACAAAGAAGAGAGAATAAAAAAAGAATAATTTTCTGATCACAAAAGCAGGAACTTGAGGGACTGCTGTGTGTTTATGGTGATTTATGGTTGATAAATATATGGGGAAAGTCTGGTAATTGGTAACAACACTGAAACCTGTTTTGGTGTGCAGTATCCTATAATTGCATTTGCTTTACACAGAGTCAATATTATGGATGAAAAATTAATAACAAAGACTAGCACATAGTTTCCATCTACATGTATGTTCTACTTCCTACTGTGAAGAGATGTTATGTTTAGGTTCTGCTTTGTGTTTTAACAATAGGTAAGTTTGAAACTAATTTCCTTGCAATAAATTGAAAATCAAACATAGGAATATTTGCTGGGACCCGCACAGCCAGTGGGGAACTGAGAGGGAGTGACGGGAGATTAAGAAAAAACTAGACACATACTAAAAGGAAAATTGGGACTGAGTGGGACCTGACCTCTCTGAGGGACAGGCAGCGACAAACCAGCAAGATCTGCATCTTTATTTACACACAGTAAAAAGAGGGGAAGTGTGCGATGAAGTTAAAAGTGCAAGGTCTCGGTGTTTTGCTGAGAGCATTGAAAGTGTAACATTTTTAGAGCGATCTGTGCTGTGTAGTCAACAGGGAGGAACACCAAGGCCAGACACCTGCCGGACTGGCTATGCTCTAGTCCAAACAACTTGTTTCTATGGCTTGCTTTTGGCTCAGCCGTGGCTTTGCCGCTCCCCACAAATATTAGATGCAAATACTGAGATCTCAGGGCACTTTGTCCCTCAGCATTTCTTCTTCAGAGAAGAGAGCTGGAAAATATGGAAATTTGAGTAATAAAAGGTTTAGTTTGAAAAGTTAGCAATAATGAGTTGTAAGAAAAGGATTTCTTAAAACACTGCATTTAAATATATCGGCCTTGTATAAAAGATGAGAAAGAGATAAAACAGGTCATGGTAAGAATGATCTAAACAAATCAAAATGGATAAATATTATGCTTCTGTTTAAGAGTGGTGTTTTATTTTATTTTTATTTGTTTATTTAGGTAGTGGAAATCTATCTCAGGTCCTTGTGCTTGCCAGGCAGGTGCTTATGTCTCTGAGCTATATTCTCAGCCCTGAGTACTGTTTTATTAATGGTAATTTTTTTCACTAATCTTGCTACAAGCTTCTGAGAGATATTCGTCAACTTTTTTTCTCACTGAAATATCTTCATTGTCCACACTGCCCATGTTTCTGGTTTGTAACTACTATTTCATTTTTCAAGAATTTGAACTCATAACAATCCCTACCAGAAATGTTAGCCAACAATGAACTTTCTATTTCAGATGAAATAAAAGTGAATCCAGATACTAAGTCATGTGTAAGATTTCTATTAAAAAGGCAGAAGTTGAAATAACATGCTAATTATTTAACTCATAAATAACATTGGAAGAATTTGCTATTTGTTTGGAAAATCAATACATTTAGATTACTTCACTTCATTTCTTACTCAAAACTAGATTCCAGGGATTTAATGTGTAAACATGTAAAATAAAATTTTATGAATGTGGTAATATTATTTGGAAAATGATTTTTGTAATCAGAAGATGTAATGAGGAAATTTCTGAAAATGAGCAACTAATAAACACAGAAAAAGTAAAAACCTCACCATGATTAGGTAAATGTAAAGTGAGGCATCTCCTCAACAGGTTGAGAAGGTTAAAAAATCACTCTCAAATTTTGTTGGTGACAGTAATGTAAGGATTTTAAGGTCAGTTAAAACAATACCTCAATATTTCCAATGTACATACATAGATGTCCAAGCTGAAATTTTACACTTGAGGAATCCATCTTATAGAAATTCTCCTAAATTACAGAACAATATACGTGTTTGTCAGCTTGGACAAATGTCCATAATATATACCTTTACATCAAAAAATTGTTTCAGAAACAATATGTATTAAATGTTTCCACATACAATCTCATGTATGTATTGTATGAAAATTTTACAGGTATAGCTCTGATAATTACATATGGCTCAACCTGCCTATGTTGCCGCCTCTTTTAGGATGTTTCTCATTCTCCTTATGAATACAGTCTATACCTCATAAATTACTTTCATATGTTATATATTCACTTACAGTTCTACTGTGATCATACTCGTATGAGTATTATTAATTAAATTTTTAATCAAATGATTAAAAATTTTTCAGTGGACATAAATTGATGAACACTAATCTGCCACACATTAGATGTCAAAATCATGCTCAAAGACATCAGAGGCAATCACTTGAAGCCTTCACTGTTTGCCTAGCCTGACTCCAGATAGCCAGTGTGTGGTGATACGGCACCAAAGCACTTTCCATCTCATGGAAAGCAGATGCACAAAGTCCTGCAGGAGGCTGGGGGTTTCCCCTTCTAAGAAGCCTACCCCTCATGATGCCTGCTGACATTTACATATCCAGTCAAGTGCAGGCAAGTGGGAACTAGAAGGAAAAAAGGGTGAACCCTTGTATGTGTGTTCCAGCAGACCTCAGCAAGGACCCACAGGCAGTTCTAACAAATGCTGGACAGCTATTTGACAAACATCTACTCCCGTCAGCTCAGCTGCCAGGCAGAGTTTTACAGACATTAGGACTGTGCTATTGACTGTAAATGTAAAGTGCTGCTTGGATCAAGGAGGGCTGATTTGAAATTGTATACAGTAGTTTAAAAAAGTGAACCTAAAGTAATCACTCACATTTGTCTGAATATGGATATTTTTAAATGCAATCAGTGAGATTAGAACATCTCAATGCTGAAGTAGTTCCACAAAAGGCAAAAACTGTTCACAGTATCTTATGTCTTTAATCCCTACAAAATTTTCTTACCAATTCTCTCTGTAAATTTGATGATGGTTCACTAGTGTCAACCTGGGCAAACTGTGACATTAAATCTTTAGATTTTCCTCCAACTCCAAACCACCATCTCTAAATTCAAAATAAAAATCCCTAAGTATTTAGGAATTTGATAGAAGTAAAGCAAGCCCAGTGTAAAGTTATATTTTCACCCACAATAAAGATAGATAGATAGTTGATAGATAGATATAGATAGATAATATGATGATAGATATAAATGCTATATATTTATGGAAACATATGTTTTGGGCACATATGTTTGCTGTTATGTGTACGTAACTCAAACTGGTGTTAAAATAATTGCAGGCAGCATGGTGTAGTGATGTTATACAAGGTTAAGGTCAGTTTTCCTGATGAGCTCCACAAGGAAAAAGAATATTCCTACTCCAAGTAGAAACTAAAATAAGGTGGAGAAATCTTTCCTTCAAACCTCATAGGCATCTTTCACTGCAGTGGTTCTCAACAGATGCTCCCTAGACAGCAACATGAACATCACCGGGGAGCTTGTTAGGGACTATGAGAATGCATTGTAGAGACACGGATTTAATGAGCCATCCAGGTGATACTGATGCCCGCTCAAGTTTGAGAATCACATCTAATGGGCTACAGTTTTGTGGGCTTTGAAAAGCTCAACTTGGAATAAATGCTACCACGATCTTCTTCCATAAAACTCTTGCATTTCACTTACTAGAACAACTGCAAATATTTGTAAGAGTCCCTTGGCCACTGCACATTCTGGCATATATTTTTAAATGGAGAAGTATTGGCACATGAGCCATGCTGACAATTGCATACATTCTTCTGACTTATAGATGCTTAAAGGCTTATAAAAGTATGACAGTTGAATATATTGGCTTATAGTTGACAATCTCAATTTTAAAAATATAGTAATTGGGTCTATCGCAGTATGTCCCAATAACCACGCATGAATGAAAATCTGAGCAATATCTGTTCTCATTGTAAAAAGAATTTATTCATAATATGTCTCTTTCTTGAATTCAATTCTATTAAGTCTTTCTCTCCATCGTTAGGAGCAGATGACTATGTTGATGCCTTCAAGTTAATAAAGATATTTGTGGAATGAACATTGAATTTATAATATGGATAAAACTCAGTACCTTTTTATTTCAGATATATTAGGGAATAATAGTTTTCTTGCTATCACAGCACAGTGTAACTTTTCAAAGTGTCTAAACTTCCTAAATTTTAAATTAATGTCATATAAAGACATCACAAAAGTAATGCTCATATAGATTCTTTAATTATTTCAAACAGTTAATAAGTTGAAAAGTATAGAAATGCATATGGATCATGAATATGTGCCACTGAATCTGACTGAATTTGAAAACACAACCCAAATAAAGGTCTTCCACAGGCAACACAGTAACCCTGATTATGGAAGAAATTACTTTTATTCTTCTAGCTCCAAATCCTTTAATTGAAACAAAAATAGTATTGGAATAATTGAAATGATTCCAGGGTGCATATGATAGCTTAGAGAAGCAAATAAAAGCAATTAACAAGTTGTTTGTAAATGAGTCTTTGGTTGACCAGTATTGCATGTTTATATCTGTTTTCACGAGAAGCCACTTTGAAGATATCAATATGTAATACAACCACCATTGTTAATTCCCTACCACTTTGTTTGTAACTCTGTGTTGTCTGTATTGTGCTTGTGATATGTTGTAAAATGTTGTATGTCTGTTAATGTTTCCCTCCTTTTATCTTTAAAATTAAAAAAAAAAAAGTTGTCTGTAATTGCTAGAGCTCGTTGACACCAGAAACAGTTCCTATTTCTGATTCATCTTAAATCTCCACATTAATATCCTATGACTAAGGTCTAACAATAGGATATTCACACAGCTCTATATTTTCCACTAACACTTCCTTATAACTATGACATTTAGTTTATTAACATTGTATACATATATATAATATATGCATAAATATATGATATAAGTACTACAAATCATAAATTAAATTCTCCATTTAATTCCTATACATAGGCCTTTAACAATTCAGTTAGTCACAATTTCACAATTTTCATATTCAAAGTGAAATAAATTAGCCTTTACAATAAAAAATCCTTACTATCAAATAGTAATAAATATCTCAATTTAAAATGTCAAGTCAAAAGTAACATTTATCTCGAGGAAAAGATAGCACAAAAAGAATGCTTTAGGTGACTGGAGATTACATAGATACATGAATTCCTGAAACCCAAAGGGGAAAAAACAATAATCTGCTACCATGTAATTATCTATCTATCTATTATCTATCTATCTATCTATCTCTCTATCTATCCACCCATCCATCCATCCATCCACCCATCTATCCTTCTATCCATCCATCCATTTAGCTATCTATCTATCCATCCATCGAGCTATCTATCTATCTATCATCTCTCTATCTTTGTCTATCTCAGTTTCCTTGTCCCTGAGCCTGATCAAAGCTTCACTTGTCAATAGAAGCTTAGACAGCAAACAGAAATCCCACCTATTTTGAAATCTTGCCAAAGGCAGCAATTATTCAGCACCAGTGGGTGCAGGAGTGCACTCGCACTCCTTCACTGAAGCATTCTATGTGAAAGAAAAACCTCTATAATCGTGCATCCTGATGAACTTTACATTTTAATTAGAAATGCTTGAGTTAAGATCACTCGCTGAAACCTTAATGAACAAGAGGCTTACCTCCTGTTCCTCCACTTTTGAACTACAAGAGAGAAGTAATAAGCTCACCTGAGTTGGGTCAAAGCAAATACCAAGCAAATTCTTTAGAAATTGGTGATTTCTCCTAGGCTAGAAATATCAGCTAATCCAATTTACAGTCCCCCAATACATAAGGTTAACAGAGACAATAGGCTGCAGAGTTTAAAGATTTCTCTCTTTTCCCTATCTCTGTTATTCTCTCTCAATTCACATGCACAAACTTCTATTTGACTGTTCCACATCTAAATACTTATACTTTCAAAGTGTACAATGGCTTTAATATGGAAAAACCCAGTCACATGTCTATACAAAAGTCTAATATTTTCCTGAACCATTTGAAGGTTTTTGTTTGCTTTCTTTGTCTAGAAGCATCACATATCATATTAAATGCACTCTGAAAGGTTTCTTTTTCATTACTATAATAACCAGAAAATTAGATTTAATATTTTTGAAAAAGTTCCCTTAAACTGAAGT